TAAATTTATGATGCCTTGGTTAAAATAGAATTTAAGCGATGGTAAGTTAAGATATTAATAAATTAATACAGCGAGGATCCATTAAATTGATCAAGTGACAGTAAAGTCATTAATGTTACAATAAAATTCTATTTGAACTTGTTTTCAACACTGATAATAATAAGAAATGTTGTACCAAATCAGAATATTAGAGGATCATGTGACACTGAAGACTGGAGTAATGCTGAAAATTCAGCTTTACCCTCGGAGGAATACATATAAAACAGTTATTTTAAACTATACTGATATTTCAAATTCACAGCATGACTGTTTTACTGTGCTTTGATCAAATGAATAGTGAGCATAATAGACTTCAAAGCCTGCTATCTGCTAGACTTGTAGTCAAGACCGCCTAAACCGAGACCAATACACTACCAGGACCAGAGGGTATCGAGACCAATACACTACCAGGACCAGAGGGTATCGAGACCAATACACTACCAGGACCAGAGGGTATCGAGACCAATACACTACCAGGACCAGAGGGTATCGAGACCAATACACTACCAGGACCAGAGGGTATCGAGACCAAGACGATACCGAGACCAAGACCGAGACCGGAGGAAAAAAAAAAACAGACTAGTGTTGTTGAAGCTAAGCAATAACTTGTAAGATTTTGTTTTGCATTGCCTGCCTATCTCTGCCGATTTCGAAGTCTCCAAATGAATCCATTCTGCAACTTTTAAATACATAATTATATTTTTAAAAACGAAATTATAAGCTAAAGTCCAGGATCCCAAAGTTGGTTGTTTTGTCGCTATGGTTACACACACACACACACACACGCACACCGTTGGCGGTGCACTCAGAGTCATCTGTCAGTTGTGCAGTTACCCAAAATCTCCTGAATGAAGTTAAAACCCATCATGTCACTGATATGTGTTTTACTAAATATTAATACATCAAAAACTGCACATGATGTGTGTTTTTTAAATCAAGTGATCAAAGTGCTCGTTGTCGCTGCGATCAGTGGCGCGGATACGGCTCGCGCACCGCACTGTCTTCACTCGGACGCGCGCTTCAATCCGTTGCGGATATCGTCGTGGATATTGATATTGCTAAATCCCCCGACCACTATGTCGGTCTGAGACAACGAGACCTAGACAAGACCGAGAGGTCCGAGACCAAGACAAGACCAAGACCAAAGACCGCCAAGGCCGTGACAAGACCGAGACCACATTAAAGTGGTCTCGAGACATACATCACTACTATCTGCACAGACTTTTCCTCACCTGTTCCAACAAAAGGATCGTAAATCAAATCATCAGCCTTTACTTTGGCATGATTGGCCATGATGAAAGAGAGGCCAGCGTCCATACTAGTGTTCCCGATGAAATGTCTCTTCTTCACACTGTGAGAGCGAATTAATTCTCTCTGACCATCTGCAATCTGAAGAGAAAACCTATTTAACATTTGTTACAGTATGTTACCTCTTATTTTCAGCTTTAGTATCTAGAGCACAAATCAAGCATTTTACAGATCAAGACAATCGTCAAATGTGAAGCCTAGCACACATCACTAAAGAAACATTCTGAAACATTATATATCTGGAAAGAGCTGCTCACCCATCTCCCAAAGTACAAATGGAAAGGATCCTCTGGGATGTCATTAGGATCGGAGCCATAATCCTCCAGCAAACAGAAAATATGTTCTGGATCCTTTAGATTGACCTTCCCTTCAAACGGCAGGAAGTCTAGAGCCTGTGTCAAAAATACATAGTTAAGGCAATTCAAAATGGCAATTGAAGCTGTTACTAAATTAACACTAATTATGGATTGTATGCCACAGAATTAGGCATTCAAAGCGTACAAACATGTAAAATACTTACATCAATCTTATTGATTCTGTCCTTAAACTCTAACGTTTTGTTGAAAGTGTAGACATTGATCTTATAAGTTGAATTCTGTTGTAGATATGGAGCCTGTGAAGAATTCATACAAGAGACAGTTTATTAAAAGATACACTCTGTAAATCTCAAGGACACATTGTACTTTACTGTGAGGGAAACGTGAACAAACCATGCTTTCTGCTGGATACGCCAACAATGACCTCCTCAACTCTTCTGTTGTTCTTCCATGACCCCAAAGTTCAAAAGCAGACCTTGAAATTTAAATCAATATTAAACTTTACATAAATCCAGCAATTTAATAAATGTCACTGTATTTTTTTTTAATCATAGCTTATTTTATTTTAGTAACACTTTACAATAAGGTTTCATTTGATAACGTCAGTCAATGCGTTAGCTAACATAAACTAACAATGAGGATTATACTTTTTGCAGTATTTATCCATCTTTGTTAATAAAAATACAATTGTTCACTCTTTGTTCGTGCAGGTTCGCAGTGCCTTAAAGGTTCACCCAAAAATAAAAAAATATGTAATTTACTCACCCTCATGTTGTTCCAAACATGATTGAATGTATTTCTTCTAAACACAAAAGAAGATATTTTGAAGAATATGGGTAACCAAACAGTTGATGGGCCCCATTGACTTCCATAGTATGTAAAAAAAAAAAAAAAAAAAAAAAAAAAAATACTATTGAAGTCAATGGGGCCCATCCACTGTTTGGTTACTGACATTCTTCAAAATATCTACTTTTGTGTTCAGCAGAAAAAAGAAATTCATTCATGTTTGGACCAACTTGAGGGTGAGAAAATTACGACAGAATTTTCATTTTTGGATGAACTATCTCTTTAACTAATGTTAACCACTTTTTATTTAAAAAATAAAGTAAATGGTGGAAATAACATTAAGATAAATAAATGCTGTAGAAATATTGTTCTTTGTTAAAGTTAACTAATGTTAGTAACAAATGAAACCTTGTTATAATATTGACAAAAACACCCATGTTTTCATCCATGCAATATTCACACATTGAGCTTAAGCCAATCATTGACTACATCCAAATATATGCAGAGTTCTGACTGGTCATAAGGTCAATGAATCATACGCAAACTAACTCAAAATGTAGGTAAATAAATATCGCTGAGTACATGCAATTAGATAAATATGTATAATAGTTTGTCATCCTAAGCATTTTAAATGTAATTTAAATAATAAAATATTACAACCTACTTGCCACAGACCGTTCTGGACATGACACTCCGTATATCATCTTCCGATAAGCCATTTAGTTGCCAAAAGGGGGACTTATGTGGAAAAAGTTAGAATTGTTAGAAAATAAAAAACAAAGACAAAATCTTATGTCAATTAAAAAACTATTTTAGCATTACCTTTTCTATGAATGTTTCTGATGTATCAAATAACTGGTTCCTTAGAGACAGCAATGCTTTTATTTCCTGCAATAAATAATTCAAATTGCGATTCAGGAATGTTTAACAAATACAGTTCAAATTAACATAATGAACAATACAATACTGAACTGAGCTGTGCAAAAAATAGTATGATTAACGAGCTCATTAGTTCAAAATACACTCTGACACTGACAGTTTAATCCAATAAATAAGCATTTTGACACGAAGGTCTAAGTGTACTGAAGGTTTACAGTTTGTACCGGTAATCTAAAATCGACGTTATCATGTGCCAGATGAAGTAAATATTGTCTGCAGCACGCCCGACCAGAGTGGAGCGCCATGTTTGTGTGCAACATTCAACATCATCCGATGGGTATATTATGCCCGTAACAAAAGTTCCTATTTGGCATCCCCGTGGCCCGTACGTAAATCTACTAAAAGGATTAGATAGTTGCATTTTTCAATGCCTGTTAAGTCATACCCATGAGTAAAATTAGGTAAATTGCCTATGTGCTCGACAGAACGGTCTCTTCGTGAAAGGCGAATCATTTTTCACCTGTGATTTTGTTTATAGTCTTTTTAGAAAATGGAAACGATTTAGTGTCACCTCCTGATAATATATTTTAATCTGATTTACACACTCATTAACTTCTTAAGGGGCTAAAATCTTCCCTGTCATTGGTTCATCATCTCGTACAGTGACATGATTGTCATACTCTCATTGGTTAGTTTACACGTCAATCACTCTCAGAAGCGGTCAGAAAAGTATCCACTGCACAACTTGTAATGTATCCACTTCCATCGCTGTACAACATGACAACCATTCACAAGAAGCCAAACAATGGCGGTAAGGTGTTATGGCAGCCTACACTTAACGTGTGATGTATATATTTCGATGTCAAATAAATCTTTGTAAAGTAGCTAGATTAAATCGTTAAACTAAGCTGTCATTAATCTTTACTGTGATGTAGATTCGTATTGTTGTATATGTGTATTGTATATTGTGCCGTTTTATGCAGGGCTGTGCGACCTTCAGAATAGAACTGAGAAAAATATCTCTAATGTCTATATTTCTGAATTTTGAGAATGAATTCTTATTGAGAAGAAAATCAGTTTCTCGATTTAAATAGAATTCAAATTGAGGTTGCAGAATTGTCCAAATTTGAGGAAGTAGGCCTATAATTAAAATGTTTAATTAAAATAATTCTTTTTTTCAGTATGAACATGAGATATTTCCATAAACAGTTCATATGAATTGATGAACATAGTAATAATCAATCTTTGAAATGTCATGTATAAAAAAATGTGAATTTAATATATTTATCCTGTTATTCATCATTTGTCTTTTTATATTTTAAGTTTTCATTTTATATATTTTCATCATTTGTATTCATTATATATTATTTAGGTTTCATTTATTTCTATTTCAGTTTTAGTTTTTATTAATTAGTTGCTTCATCTGAAACTTGTTTCAGTTAGTTGCAACATTTCTAATTTTCGTTTAGTTGAAGTTATTTATCTTATCTTATATTCATATTTTTTATTTTATTTCAGCCCTATGTCAATGAACAAAAATGTTTTTAATAGTTTTACGTTTAATTAACGATAATAACCGTGTCCTGGACATTTTTTCTTAAATTCCAAAATGACAGTGTACACTTGTGTGGTTCTACCTCAAATTTTGAGATCAGTATTTATTTTATAGTCAATAACTATATTTATCTTTACGATATAGTTTAGTTTAAGCGCACAGACTAGTATTGATTACATTGGGTCAGTCTTACTTGTAGACTTCATGAGGCTTTAAGTTATTTAAGGCCTGTACGACATGCAATCTTCTCACTCACAGCCTTTGTTGTGCCAACAGTGAAGCATGAACTGAAAACTAGAGCCGTCCTGTGAGCCAAAGGTCACCATGGAGACGGACGAAGCACCTGCGCAGCGTAATGACGACAGGGCAGAGACCTGCACCGTGTCTGTTAAAGGCCTGACAGAGAACTGGCAGAAATGGTCCAACGACCACTGCGAGTATCAGAAACACAATCCCTTCAGCAACGGCAAGGTGATTCCCCCGCAGATCCAGCGAGGACAGGAGGGCTACGGCAGGCCTTTAGAGGGCTCTAAAACAGAGCAGAGGGGGAAAGACGCCCACTCCCACATCAGCAGAGAGGTCACTGAGCTCTGCCAGGTCATTCAGGAGATCGGAGAGAGCAGAGACGACGGCAGGCCGGCTGTGCGGTTCGGGACGCTGTTCGAGAGATACGTCACCATCTCTGATAAACTGGTGGGAGTTCTTCTGCGGGCACGCAAGCAAGCGCTGGTGCACTTTGAAGGGGAGATGCTGTGGCAGGGGAGAGATGATGAAGTTCTCATCACCTTGTTACAGTGATTTACAGAAGTGATGGACACCACGTGCCTGCCTCAAAGTCAATATTACTGTCCAAAATTGCACTATAGGCATCTGTTTTACTTGAACAGGGGTTAGTTTTTGGCCAAAGAAACTATTACTAATGAGATTGTTGACTTGAGTGTAATGAATTTAAATGTAGCAAACTGGTATATTATGTTACCTTTTCATGCTTTCAAAGTGGGACATTTCTATACCACCAAGCGGAATTGGAAAAATAATGTTTTAGACAAGATTTCAAAACACTCTTGTCTGTCATTGGTCAACCAAACAAGTAGCCCCGCCCCCTTCTCATACCATTGGTTATGAGGGGCTGCCACAAAAGCAAAGCAACAATGCTTACACTTTTCAGTTCCTTGTAAAAAAAAAGTTGCCCATCAGCCTGGCTAGGCTGTCTATTTGCTGGTTTTGAGTACTTTCCAGATAGAGGTCTAGTTAGGAGACCAACTTAGATTGGTTTAACATTAGTTATAAATGACTTATTCTGGATATCTCTGCACACTAAACTGTGATAGGATAAAATGTATTTTCAAAAAATGCACGCTTTCACCTTTAAAGGGATAGTTCACCCAAAAAAGGGAACTTTGTCATCATTTATGCACCCTCAAGTTGTTCCAAACTTACTTTTTTTTTCTTCTGCTGACCAAACAATTGATGGGCCCCATTGAATTACATAGAATCTTTCTCCATACTATGGAAATCAATGGGGTCCATCAACTGTTTGGTTACCCATTTCCTTCAAAATATCTTCTTTTGTGTTCAGCAGAAGAAATTAATTAATTCAGGTTTGGAACAACTTGAGAGTGAGTAAATGATGACAGAATTTTAATTTTTGGGTGAACTATCCCTTTAAATGAACACCTACAATAACATGCAACATTGTAGTGTTGAGAAGCCATAATACTCAAACCATAATCATATTTTTGCCATCACTTTGATGCACAGTGTTAAGGTACACAATGGTTTACTATTGAAACTAAAAAAAAAAAAATTTTCTATTTGTATGTTATTTTCTAATATGATGAATCACTTGCAAGGATATTACAAGTATTGTCTAGATAGAAAATACATGTCTACTTTTGTGTATGGAGTTGCTTTGAATTTATTATAAATATAATTAATATAAAATATATCTAGAGTGATGATCATGTGATCGTTTTGAAGCACAAAAAAAACTATTAAAAAGCATAAAACAATTATGCAGGTTATTATTTATTTTGTTTACATGCTTACACACATCATACAGTGCAATTACAACTTTACATCACTCAATAATTAAATACATCTGAGGCATACATGTCTTATATCTATACAGTAAAATCTGTCATGGCATAAACAGAAGTGAATCATGCAGTACAGAATGACAAAACGCTGCCGTATTCTGATGCTGAAATCATTCGGCAGTGGATTTGGGCTAAGCTAAATCCAATTATTGAGCTTAATTGCCATTTTCAGCTCGTTCATATTTTAAAAAGTCTTTACTGCTCTGTATCCTTAAAATTCATTTTATTTGAGTAAGACTGAAAGGAGCCCAAACTGTTCACCGTAAAAGATTTATGATTCTGTCAAGTTTATCAATGTCATTACTATTCAGCATGCTTTTTTTTCTTTTTTCAAATCAATTCAAAAGTAGCTACAATGTTGTAGCTGCAAATTTGATTAGCCCGTCTGGTAGACAATATAACCAACAATAAAAGTAGCATTAATGAGTATTATAACCCCGAGGGACTCGCCTGTGGCCTTTTGTCATCACAAACAGATTGACTTGGACTGTTGTTATGTGTAACGTGGCTCTGGGCATCTCAAACATGAATGTATCTCTCACTTCCTGTACACTTAGCTCATAGAGTTCAGCTTTTGGAGTAACTGTTCTGCCTGTAATGTGAAAACAGACAAGAGTTAGCTATACATTTGGGTCAGTGACATGACGTGCATATTTTTGTGTCCAAGTGCATTATTTCCCTTTAAAATATTTGACATGCATCACTTCATTCTGTAAAACCTATTTAGTTTGAATTCATTTTCAGTACATTCAAATAATAAATATTATTTTATATTTTGGTATCTTAAACACCACAAATGTCAGGTCGCTCAACCGTCCCCACAAATAAACAGACTATAAGAAAACTATTTAAAATGGTGTTTTAATAAGAAGAAATTCTAAATAAAATAGAACACATAATATTAAACATTAAACATTTTGTTATGAATTGAGGTAATAACCGTAAGCATGATAATGCATCATAACTTTGTTGTTATTCATCTCTTTACTTGCACTGTAGCCTATTACAGTTCTTGCATTCCGAATGTGATGTCATGTGATTTATTCTGTTTTTTATCAATTTACCACTTTTACTTCAATAGAGACTGTTGACTAAAACATTTGTATTTTATTTTTATATGTAATTGAAATGGAAAAAAAAAACACATTGATGTGTGTATGTTCTACAGATCCTATATTGAGTCGCTATTATCCTTTTCATTGTTGTGCTGGTTTAATTCTCTGAATGTAAAAAATAAGAATTGTATTGAGAGGATCGTAAATCAGAGAAATAAAATAACGGGGAGGCAGCAGATGACTATGGCCCAGTTATATTATAGACAGGTTTTGGGTAAAGCCGAGAGCATATTGTTAGATGATTCCCACCCTATGTATTATGAGTTATGAGTTCCATCTCCCTTCTGGCAGTCGGTGTAGAACTCCGTTTAATAAAACAAATCGGTTTAAAAATTCAATTATCCCCTCAGCTGTAAAGTTTTTAAACCTAAGGTAATTTTTTTTTTTTGTATGTGTGTGTGTCCTATGTGTATGCTGCAACCAAATTGCCTTCGGGAAATGAATAAAGATGAACTGAACTATTCCCTGTCATTATTAATGTTGTCAGGTGGCACAACTGATATTCATCCGGTGTTGCAACCATATAAATTCTTGATTTAAAGCAACAAATAAGAAGTCACGTGCACAAATGGCTAAAAACTAGGTTATTAGTTATTTTATAATTTACATTTAGCTGTCTTTAAAAGTAAAATCAGATGCTAAAGATACTAAATACCTTGCCACTAGAATGCAATAATTTATATAAACTAATATAAATAAAATACACCCCAAAATAATTTGTTCGGCACTGTAGACACTTTAACGGTTACTGTGCTAAGATTTCACAATAAAATTAGGAATATATATTTACAAATATTTGATTGTACCAGCAGACAAAAAAAAAAAAGTCAAAAATTAATTTAAACACTTTGAAATGTTATTTAACTAATAGTTGTTTAAACGCACTGTTCCTGGCTCAGAAATATGCATTACATCAATTTTGAAAACAAAATTATTTTAAATATATACTTTTGAAGCTTTATTTTTTTTTTATGTCGCCTTTTTCACCTTTGTTGCCATTGGCTTTTGGGTTGCTTAGTTGGGGACCTTAAATTTAACATTTAATTCAATTTTCAACAATAATATTGATCTGCCTGCATTGACACTATTATACAAGAAATGAACTGAGCTGGATGATGACATCACAGTTTTCTCCAGTCCAGAGTAATAACTTAGTTTCTCCAACTAAATTAAGAACTTTTTTACAACAAAAATGACATTTTTCATTTCTATTTTCTTCTGGGAACAAACTTTGTTGCATTATTTTCCTGTTATCTCTGTAAAGCTGGTTTGAAACTATCTGTATTGTAAAAAGCACTATATAAATAAATGTTACTTGACTATTTGTCATTGATCACTTGCATACTCAAAAGCAAGGGTAAATCAACAATTCTATTATTTAAAACGTAAAGAAAAACGTTGTAGTGGTAGAACTGGTAAGACCAGTATCGTTATTTCTCCACACAGTTCCATTCAGCCGCATCTACTAGTGCTGGCAAAAACAAAAAAGGGTTTCATCCCCTGCCATTGTAGCTTGTCCATTTTAATTTAATAAAGTTTGCTTGTTCCAATTACAAGACAAAAGGTCTCATTCAACAGGCGTAATAAATTGCTACGCTCAGAAAACATTTAGTCTGTTAATGCATCAATAACCTGCTCCAAGGGAATGTGATTATTAGTTTTAGTGGATGTAATTTACTTGTGCACTTGGAGGATAGGGGGAATAGTGGATTGTTGGGTGGTTGATTTGATTGCTTACCGTGATGAACCAATATGAGTTTAGCCTGTAGACCAAGCGTGACATGAAGCCCAACTGACTGACGGGTGCGAGAACATGGAGATGCAGATGTGTGACAGAGGAGAAAGGAGGCCAGTGGAAGCCAAACCTTGGAAATACGATTGACATGTTGGCATAAATTGGCATGTTACATGAACAAGGACTCGATTTTAGTATATGTGGCAAAGTATCAGATGTTTTATCCATTACCTAACATCATTTAAATCAGTTACATTGTTCTTCTGAAGTATCTCTTTCCCCATCTCCACCATCTTCTCCACTAAAGAACACAAAAATAGATACACAGATGACTGCTTAGTCAAACATGCATGCTGCAGTATGTGTTACTAAATTGGGAATTGTGACTACTTGTAAATGGTAAAACTGACTCATTACTTCTGATTGTTACTACAGAAAGGCTCTAGAAAAGCTCCTGTCAGATATGTCTAAACATTTACACCAGTCTCTGATAAATCACAGCGTGTTTACCTAATGGCACATGCTCTTTTCTGAGAGATTTACAATTGCCCACATGTTTATTTGGCACAACCAGATAGTGATGAGGAGCTCCAGGGTGTATATCTCTGAAACAGGACACAGTCTCATCCTGAAAAGAGAAAGGTTTTATTTAAAATAAATAAATAAATAACAGTGATAGGGTCTCGCTTCAAGTAATTTTTTTTAGCACATTTGCAACTTCTGATGTTTTAAAATGTGCTTAAGTGACCAATAAACGACAAAACATGACTTGAATTATTGTAAAACCATATCAAATTCATTTCAATATGCATAATTTCTTTATTAGTAGTATTAATAATTGATGACGATGGCTGTGCAAATTAATCACATTGCTATTTTAGTAGTAAAATGATTCTTTAGTAACTATGGAACTATAGTAACCTTGATACAGTTTTTCTATTGTTGTTGTTGACAAAGTTAAAATGCAAGTAATATTTTTATGAAATAAAGACATGTCGGTGAATTACTTTACGATTTCATGAAACATTTTGAATTGTGATCTTTAGCCTCATCGTATCATCACACTTTATTATCTTCACTGTCACTTATTTGTTATCTTAGATAAAACACTGACAGCACACTTACATTGTGCAGGAGCTCAGTTCCCATCTCCCCCTTCACGATTTTACAGAAAATACATTTTTGGTCATATCCACCGTCATCGGTCTTCGTTGTCCCGCTCTCAGGTGTCGGTGTGTTTACGGCGGCTGCCATCTTCAAAGCGCGTGAAGGCGGACCTAATCACATCACGAGCACGAGCGTCACGTCATTTCAACATACAAGTCCTCTGAGTTCGTTTTTCTTTTTTTAAGTCAAGAACCCCTAAATATACTGATCCCTTTGTGTAAAACGATAACATTAATGGGGACAAATTGTTGTTTTCGAAATTAAATGATTGGATATTTAGTAAAATACTAAGATATTACATGGAAAATATATAGTTTGTATTAAGTTAATATCTTTTTGTTATCCATTATTAGAAAATAAGATACATATTTTAATTCAGTCAGCAAACTAAATATGCTTCCAAAGCAGTTTTACAGATAATAGTGTCATCCAACAGTGAGCAAGTGACAAAGGTGAGGAAAAAAATACATAATAACTGCCCAGTTTGTCAGAAAGGAAATCTTTATAAATATAGCAATATTTGTTAGAAGAATAAAAATAAAATCTTCAAATTTTCCACTGAGTCCCTCATTTCCTGATGTGGATGTCAAAATCACCCTGCAGAGAATACAAAAGAAACACTGCATATATTATAGATTTAATATAATTTATGTTCCTGTTGCTTCATCTATAAGAATGCTAGACTTTTAATCAAATTTATTCAGTTCATAGTTCATGAATTTATTTTCTGATCAAATCAGAAGAATACCCACACTTCTTGAAATGTAATTTCTGAGTATAGGAAATTCTATTCAGCTCTGTTCAATAGGCATATGCATCTACCAATTTAGAATATTTTTTTCATGTGATATTGTCAGAACCTAGAGGTATTTATTCAATAGCTCTGGTTTCACCATTATTTCTTTTTAATGGTTTAAAAAAATCCTCACATTTCCTCTAGTTCTTTTGTTTGCAAAAATATAACCACAAAACTTAACACTTAAAATAGTCTCACCAAAAAGGGATCATTTAGACAGCTTTACAGCTCAAATCGCATACATTTTTTTGTATGCATTTGATTTTTTTTATTTTATATTCACAATATTTTTTTCCATTCAGCTCTCTGCAGTATTTCAAATTTCTAAGCTTCTACCAATTTAGAATATTTTTTCATATGATATTGTCAGAACCTGGAGGAGTTTATAGCTTTGTTTCACCATGCCTATTAATTGCTCTTTTTCCTTGTTGTTTTTGTTTTCAAAAGTATAACCACAACACTTAAAACCTAAAACACTATAGTCTCACCAAAAAAATGACAATTAACAAAGCATTGTTACAAAAATGTAAGTTGAATTTGTAGTAACCGACAGCATGTCACCAATGTTTTAAGTTAGCGCTTAAGTTGTATTGAAGCTGAACATTTTTATTAATTTATAAAAATGTATTTGATTAGTTGGGCATCTCAAACAGCAATTCGGCAGAGACACAGCTGTGGTATTCTTTATTTCTGTTTAAGAAATTCTATTACACTGTCATCTAGCAGCCAGCGCAGCAGTTTTGGAGAAACATCTCCCTACAGAACAACTCAGACGAAGCTCCCGACCGGTTAAAAGTTACTAATCAAGAGAGGCAGAAAGGATAAGTGAGTGACAACACACTATGTTAAACTGCTCTGTTTAGCGGGTCAGCCGAGCAATTAATCCTGAGCACTCCAATATGCCAGGACGCCACATTTACCGTCTTAATGTATGCAAATGATGTCATTAAAATGCATGTTCATGTTTAGTCTCTAAATTAAGAGCTCATTTGCACTCCCAACAATCCAGAGATTCATTATTACAAATTACAAAAATAATAATGACTCGAGACATCAAATTTACTCTCCTTGTGCACCCTCCCCTATTTACATTGTGAATGTGAAAATAATTTATGTGACAATCAACAATTTGCAGCCACTGTATTGGAGGTTGTCAGCTGGCCAAAGCTATTATGTTATCTCTTGTTCTGCGGCTCTATATGATAAATAATGTGTCAGAAGATGACTGTATGCAATTACAGTCTGCTATGGTATTGTTGGAATGCAAAGGATTGCAAAAAAAACAAACAAAATAAAAAACAGAATTGCTGATAACTGAGAGGACTGGCAAATGTGGGACATAGAAGATGAGCGTGATGTGAATGGAAAATACAAACGCCTCAGAAATAACCGGGAAAATATGAAGTTAAGCCCTGGCAACAAACAACAGATCTCTAAATGATTCATGACCAAAATATCAACTCCAGCATTGAGGAAGTCAATGTTTTGTCCTGAAGAGGTTGTAGAATTATTCATGAGGCACCGGCTTTGTAAATAGATCCTGTTGATTAAAATGGAGGAAGTTGGGGGGTGGTGACAACTGCAACTCATGCATCTCTGGAGAGAGAGAGAGAGAGAGAGAGAGAGAGAGAGAGAGAGAGAGAGAGAGAGAGAGAGAGAGAGAGAGAGAGAGAGAGAGAGAGAGAGAGAGAGAGAGAGAGACATACATGAAGGGAAAATATTCCGTTTCTTTAATCATGTACTGCCCTACTTCCAACTTCCTCTTTCATTCCGTATACGTCCCGCTGAGATGACTGCCATTGCTACTGGTCACCGTCACACTTGGCTTTATAAATCTGAAATCAGCCTGTGTATTTTTATGAAATGAAATGGCTACGCCTTAACAAATAACATGCTTGAGAGGTTAAGAGGCGCTTTTATGAGAAATATAATCTGCTTTCTTTGACTTTTCACCTCTGCTTGTTTCTGTATTTGCTGTTCGCAATCCAACTTCCGTAATGTGACATATTGCAAATGCAAACAAACAGTTTGCTAAAGCAATAGCTATTTGGATATTGGTTTACATGATCTGACAGCCTGTGCATGCGACCTAATATATATTCTGTATATACCCGAGTGAAAAGGAGGAAAAACTCCGGTTATAAAAATACCCGTGTCCGTGTGGACAAGGCCTAAAATGTAATTGAAATACATTTATTTAATGCTAAGTACACTACAAATACATTTACATAGGCCTATTTATGTACTTAATATAAATACCCTGCAATTGTACTTTTCAGTATACTAAATTGGTATAGGCCTACTTCAAGTCTGCTAAATTGGAACATTTAGTACTTAATGCACTTTAGTTATCGGGAAATAGTGCTGAGGTCCAACTAAAGATATACTTAAGTATATTTGATTGTGCTAAAGTGGTACTATTGCAAATATACTTAGGTATAAAATCTCTTGCATTTAAAGACAGAGATTATAGGCCTACTATCCTTACTAATAGTGATATTAAAACACATTTTAGGCTTAATATTAAGAAATGTGCATTGTGCAATGAAGTACTCCAAATAAAGTTGAATTGTAATATTTACAAGTCTCAAGCGATATGTCAGATATGTTGAGCACCAAATCGGCATATTAGAATGATTTCTGAAGGATCATGTGACATTGGAGACTGGAATAATGGTGCTGAAAATTGCTCACAAATATATAGGCCTGTCTATTAAAAATAATTAAAAAAGAATTGGTTTCAAAGTAATTAATAATTAATATATAATGAATTACTTTGAAACCATGCACTGATGAATCATTCACAATAAGACTAATGTGCACTACAAAAGTAAACAGGGTCATATTTTATTTCAAGTATATCTCATACTATATAGAATATACTTGTTTTAAGTCGTTAAGTAATTACTTATTTCAAATTACTAATTTCAAAGACCTAGTCCTCCGGAAGTAACATTTGTCGCCCACATACCGTCATTATAAGATTGATTAATTTCAGTAATCTGACCACTGCATTGCAGTCATTAAGAAATTACAAAAATTAACATCTATGAATAAGAGTCAATTTTATAATTGTTACTGTTCTGAAATAAGACATCCTTTATGCCGTATACGGCCGACAAATGCGACCTCCGAGGATGTAGCCTTCGAAATGAGACACAGCTAGTCACTTGACATTTACGGCAAAAGTTATTGTCTCAAAACAACTTTTATTCAGCAAAGATGGCAGAATCACTTTTCCATGGGAATCAGCTGAGCAAATGCTAACAGCTAGCTTTATCCAAGCATTATTCTGATAGAGGCAAACAGTGTTTTTAATCAAAACACCAAATGGCGCACTTACGGTAGGCTAGTCTCTGCATAACATGGGATAGCAAAGTATTTTAACATCAAAAAATGAGCCATAACACGGACAGGTTGAGTTATTGCCACATTCTTCCAGCAGGAGGCAGTGTTATGACATCCTTCAGCACAATCTTTGAAGTGCGAGTGAACAGCTTCTCACTCCCAGCTGCTTCATCATGTTTGTTCTTTACAAACATCTGCACTGCTAATTCTTTCCGTCAAGTATGCATGTCAGATAAACCATGGTAGATGTACTAGACCCACATCCGAGGTCACGACGTGTTTTTTAAGCAGAAGTAGAGCTATCAACACAAACTGTATTTACACAGCTGAAACGAATGCACTGTTGATGGTTATTTCTTGCATGTAGCTTCATCAGTGTCTGTTTTTACCCAGACAGATATATCATGGAAATGTTAGCGTAACTAAAGAGAGCAGGTACCATGAAACTCTCTGTTTACCCAGCTGTCTGTCACTCTTTCAGGCGTTCTCTCCTCCTTTTCGTTTCTCCCTGCACAGTCCATTTACTGTGGGTTTGCAGAGGCACCTGGTGTTCATTTCACTCTCTTCTTTCCTTCAGGTCCAACAGACACCGTGTTTCCCCCTGAATTAATCATTGCTTTTTTTTGATTGGTTGATTGCAGCTTATATTTGCCCAGTAATGCTGATTGACAGTTGCTGATACAAGTGCCATAATAGGATGCCGTCTGTCTGTAAAGTCAGGGTCATGAATGTGCTTTTCTGTCACAAGATGTAGGTATACCGGTAAGCCTGTTTGCCTGGAAGTTTTATAATACCTGGAGAAAGTGAGTCAGTTTAGCATTCCCCCACTCATCTTAACTACAGGCGTAGTTATGCAATTAATCTGGTTTGAATGAAACACTTTTGATCTAATAGCTTAAAAACAGATGCATTTTGCCTGCTGAATGATGTATCCGGCTAACATAGGCTAAAATAATGTTTTCTTAACGTTCCCATTA